GAGGAGGAGGAGGAGGAGGAGGAGGAGGAGGAGGTTGGAGACCTTGGAGGTCATCGAGTCCAACCCCTGCTCAGGCAGAAAACCCTACATCATTTTAGACAAATGGCTGTCTAAACTATTCAGCTGCAGCAACAGCCTAAGGAATTCTGGGAATTGAAGTCCACGAGTCATAAAAGAGCCAAGGTTGCCTACCCCTGGTCTGGTCAAAATATGTAGGTCAAGACAGGATCATGGGAAAGGCAGAAAAGAAAAACCTGAAGGAGAAAGAAAGGATGTTGCTATAACGGAGGGCTCTTTTCAACCCATTTTTCGATGAAAAATAAAAATTCACGGGCCATCTTTGTATGCACGCTGATGCTCAAGAGTGTGGGAAATGACCTTGGATTCCCGATAAGTCACGGCAAATATGAGAGAACGGTTATAATGTAGGAAGACTCCCAGGAGGGCAACGGAAGAGTAATCTCTGCTCAAAAGGATGGGATCAAAAGGAAGCAGTTGTGCATCTCGGATAAAAGAAGTGGGGAGGGAATAAAACAATGTTAATAAAACACTATTATCATTCACGATGCGGAGATGCTTTCCTGAAGGGGATCTGATCTCTCTGAAAGAGAGAGAATAAGAATAGAATAGAATAGAATAGAATAGAATAGAATAGAATAGAATAGAATAGAATAGTTAGAACAATTAACCAGTGGAACAACCTGCCTCCAGAAGCTGTGAATGCTCCAACACTGGAGGTTTTTAAGAAGAGATTGGACAGCCACTTGTCTGAAATGGTATAGGGTTTCCTGCCTGAGCAGGGGGTTGGACTAGATGACCTCCAAGGTCCCTTCCAACTTTTTTATTCTATTCTATTCTGCATTCTATTCTGTTCTGTTCTATTCTGCATTCTATCCTATCCTATCCTATCCTATCCTATCCTATCCTATCCTATCCTATCCTATCCTATCCTACTCTACTCTACTCTACTCTACTCTACTCTACTCTACTCTATCCTATGCTATCCTGTCCTGTCCTGTCCTATCCTTTGGAAGTTGTGAATGCTCCAACACTGGACGTTTTTAAGAAGAGATTGGACAGCCATTTGTCTGAAATGGTATAGGACAGGGGTGTCAAACTCAATTTCATTGAGGGCCACATCAGCATTGCGGTTGCTCTCGGGGGGGCTGGGTGAGTGTGGCCAGGGTGGGTGTGGAGGGAATGGGTGTGGCCTACTGGGTGGGCGTGGCCAGCTCTACATCGTTCGCATCAAGGGTGCCTGTGGGGGCCTGGGCAGGAGTGGGACAGATCTGAGGGTCTCTGGCAGAAGGGGGGTGGGACCGGGGCAAGCGCCAAGGCATGGTCCACTGGAGGACCCTCACTGCCTGCTGAAACCCCTCCGCCGGAGCCCATCAAGCCGGATATGTGAAGTAGGCGAGGGCCATTTGCTGGCCACTTCCAGGCGATGGTGCATTTCTTCATTCCTCACAAAGGGTGACCCCTCCCCAGCATGCACCCAGGGGGCGGGGCCGACGCGGCAGGGGCTGCTTCCTCGCTGTTTCCAGACGGCCTTGTGGAGCTAAGACTGAATGCGTTTCAGCATAGATGGCCACCACAAAATTGTACATTGGCTCCCGGCCGGCCTGGGCCAGGGCCAAGGCAGCGGGGGCCGTTCCCTCACTGTTTCCAGGATGGCTTCGCGGGCCACATGAAACCACTTCGCGGGCCGCATCTTGTGTTTGACATGCCTGGTGTAGGGTTTCCTACCTGAGCAGGGGGTTGGACTAGAAGACCTCCAAGGTCCCTTCCAACACTGTTAGCAGTGTTCCTCCAAATTCCTTTCTCGGGAAGTTAACAGCTCCGCGGGCACTAAATGAAACGGCTCCTGCGGCTTCTGTTAAAACAAGCTACTGAGTCAAGGGATTTTTTTTCCCCCCCACAACGGGTGTAGCAGAATAAGCATGTTTACTTCTGACAATCACGGAACCAGTGGGGTTCCATACCTGCAAGGCTATCCATAACCTCAATAACAGAAGGAAGATATTTACTGAATAAATGCTCTTAAGAAGTTGTTTCCAGGGCTATCTGTTAACCTTTTGGGCACCAGGGGACCGGTTCCGTGGAGAAAGGTTTTTCCACTGACGGGAGGGTGCGTGGTTTTGTGTGCTGCCTGCATCCCACGGATGGGGCTTTGCTTGTTTGTGCGGACCGGTTGCTGGCATGCAATAAAGGGTTAGGGTTAGGGTTGTTGTTAGTTGCGAAGTCGTGTCCGACCCATCGCGACCCCATGGACAACGTTCCTCCAGGCCTTCCTACCTCTACCATCTTCTGGAGTCCATTGAAGTTCACGCCTCCTGCTTCAGGGACTCCATCCAGCTCCCTCGTTCTCTGTCGTCCCCTTCTTCTCTTGCCCTCCATCTTTCCCAGCATCAGGCTCTTCTCCAGGGAGTCCTTCCTTCTCATTAGGTGGCCAAAGTCCTTGAGTTTTAACTTCAGGATCTGGCCTTCTAAAGAGCAGTCGGGGTTGATCTCCTCTAGGACTGACCGGTTGGATCGCCTTGCAGTCCAGGGGACTCGCAGGAGTCTTCTCCAGCACCAGAGTTCAAAGGCCTCCATTCTTTGGCGCTCAGCCTTTCTTATGGTCCAACTTTCACAGCCATACATTGCAACTGGGTTAGGGTTAGGGTTAGGGTTAGGGTTAGGGTTAGGGTTAGGGTTAGGTACCGATCCACAGATCGTGGGTTGGGGTTAGGGTTAGGGTTAGGATTTAGGGTTATGGTTTAGGGCTAGGGTTGGGGTTAGGGTTAGGGTTAGGGGTTAGGTATCGGTCCACGGACCGTGGGTTGGGGACCCCTGTGCTAACGGAATATTTATTTTTTTCTCTCGATTATCCAAAGCTCCCCCTTCTTACTGTACCTTGGCTAGGCGTTCTCCCAATCTCTTAGGAACTTCTCGTTCTTCTTCCTTGTCAATTTTATTGCCAAGCAAAAGGACGGGAATGTTCTCCCCAGCTGCCTCCTAAGAAATAAGGAACAGCCATTGAAGGAGAGAGAATTCTCCTGCAGGAAAAGAGGAAGAAGCAAAATTGGGGGGGGGGGGGGGGGGAGAAAAAAAGGACAAAACGCTGGAGAATGTAAATCAAAGCAGAACTTGCCTCTACGCTCACCATCCACTGCTTTACAGACACAAAGGTGTCTTGTGCTGTTACATCATACATCACAATGACACCGTCGGCTTTCCGGAAGAACTGTTTCGTGATGCTGCGATACCTGGAAATCAATGATTTTTTGACAATCAGGAGATAAAGCAGCCATCAAACGCAGCCCTTCCCTGCTCAGTCCAAAATCCAATCCAAGTTAAAACATTCTAGACCTGAGGTGATCTAGTCTGGGCTCGAACACACCTAGCAACCATCACCCCTCTCGGTCAGGGGTTCAAATTGCTTTTACTGTTGAGAAAAGATCAAGGTTTCCCCTGTCCACTCGTGTCTGACTCTGTGGGGCAGTCCTCATCTCAGTTTCCTAGTCCAGAGAGTCAACACTGTCCAAAGACACTTCAACAGCCTGCCTCCAGAAGTTATGAATGCTCCAACACTGGGAGTTTTTAAGAAGAGATTGGACAACCATTTGTCTGAAATGGTATAGGATCTCCTGCCTGAGCAGGGGGTTGGACTAGAAGACCTCCAAGGTCCCTTCCAGCATTCTATTCTATTCTCTTCTCTTCTCTTCTCTTCTCTTCTATTCTATTCTATTCTATTCTATTCTATTCTATATTTCTATTCTATTCTATTCTATATTTCTATTCTGTATTTCTATTCCATTCTATATTTCTATTCTATTCTATTCTGTTTCTATTCTATTCTATGTTTCTATTCTATTCTGTGTTTCTATTCTGTATTTCTATTCCGTTCTGTGTTTCTATTCTATTCTGTGTTTCTATTCTGTATTTCTATTCTATTCTATTCTATTCTATTCTATTCTATTCTATCTTTATTTCTAATTCTATTCTATTCTATTCTATTCTATTCTATTCTATTCTATTCTATTCTATATTTCTATTCTATTCTGTATTTCTATTCCATTCTATATTTCTATTCTATTCTGTTTCTATTCTATTCTGTGTTTCGTTTCTATTCTGTGTTTCTATTCTATTCTATGTTTCTATTCTATTCTGTGTTTCTATTCTGTATTTCTATTCCGTTCTGTGTTTCTATTCTATTCTGTGTTTCTATTCTGTATTTCTATTCTATTCTATTCTATTCTATTCTATTCTATTCTATTCTATTCTATTCTATTCTATTCTATTCTATTCTATCTTTATTTCTAATTCTATTCTATTCTATTCTATTCTATTTCTATTCTATTCTATTCTATTCTATTCTATATTTCTATTCTATTCTGTATTTCTATTCCATTCTATATTTCTATTCTATTCTGTTTCTATTCTATTCTGTGTTTCGTTTCTATTCTGTGTTTCTATTCTATTCTATGTTTCTATTCTATTCCTATTCCTATTCCTATTCCTACTTCTATGGTTATGTGGCCAGGATGACTATACGCCAAGAAACAAGGCACATTGTTACCTTCTCACCAAAGTGGTACCTATTGATCTACTCGCATTCGCATGCTTTCAGACTGCTGGGTGGACAGGAGCTGGGACAAGTAACAGCTGACCAGCTCGGCGTCTTTAACCGCTAAGCCATCGCACCCCACTCTCTGTGATTGTAACTGTTACAACGAAAGAGGTCCTAACCAATAAGCGTGCATGAGGTGTTCGGAGAGGAGTAGCACCTCTGGTGGAGGGGCCTGCCGTGCCCATTCTAGGGCTGTTGATTCGTCGTTGGCTCTCACCTGGTGCTCAGCTCTCAGCTGTGGCTCCGAGTAGTTGTAACGCCTGCAACAGCCACACCCCAGTAAACCGTCTCAGCAGACGGGTCAAAACAGGTGAGGGAAGCTGATGGATGTTTGGGTGATTTACTGCTTACATGGCATTGGTTCCCTAGCTTGGTCTACCTTGAGGAGGGACACACCTTCCACAGGAATTGGGCTGAACTACACCTGACGGGTATTTCCTACCAAGATCACAGCCAGAGGATTACCTTTCTTGTCCGGCCGTGTCCCAGAGTTGCAGCACCACCTGGCTGCTGTCCAGGTTCACGGTTTTCATCGAATAATCCACACCTGTAGAAGACAAACACCTCCAATTGCATCGACCAATCAGAAGAGAGCTGGAAGGGACCTAGGAGGCCCCCTTGCTCAAGCAGGAGACCCTGTGCAATTTCAGACAAATGGCTTCAAGGCCCCCAGGGATGGAGCACCCACAACTTCTGGTGGCAGGCTGTTCCACAGACTGCTGTAAAGCGGTATAGAAGTGCTATTTTGCTATTTTCTTAGCATCGTGCAACATCTGGCCCCAACCATCAGAAGGGAATTACCAGATGTTCAAGCCGGCTTCAGAAGAACGTGCGGCACCATATTGCAAATCTACACTGGATCACGGAAAAAATCTCAAAAGTATTCCTGCTCTCGTTACGATTTCATTTCCCATCAACATTTGAAATGTCTTGGTCAGTCATGATTTTCTCCATGTTAATTACATTTATGTAGCTAAAAGTTTTATTCGTACCAATCCTCTTATTTTGATATTTCCCATATCGAAAGAAAGAAAGAAAGAAAGAAAGAGAGAGAGAGAGAGAGAGAGAGAGAGAGAGAGAGAGAGAGAGAGA